CAAGTAGGTTGCCAAGTATTTTTAATATTTAATAAATGTAATGTGCTTAATTAAAAATTATGATTTATTTTTTATTATTTTTATAAATATTTTATTATATTTAATTTAGTATTTTATTATTTTATTTGCAAATTAATAATGTTAATATTATACTATCTGCTATATTACTACCACTACTACTACTATTAATAATAAAAATACATTATCATTGTTGTTGTTATTGTTAGTAGTAGTAGTATTAGCAGTAATATTTAAAGTAATAATAATAATAATAAATGTTTTATTACCATAGAATCTTCAACTGTAGAATCTAAATTATTTGTTTATTTATTTATTCTTTTTATAAATAATTTATTGATTTTTTAATTTTAATATCAAATTAAAACTATAAATCCTATAACACTAATATTATAAAACCAACTACTGTATTACTAATAATAATAATAATTCTTAATAATAATTTAGTAGTAGTAGTAGTAGTATTAGCAGTAGTATTTAAAGTAATAATAATAATAATAATAAATGTTTTATTAATGTAGAATCTTCTAAATCTTTTATTAATTATTTATTGTTTTTATTGTTTTTATATTGATTATTTTTTATTTTAATATCTAATTAAAACTATAAATCCTATAATATTAATATTATAAATCCAACTACTGTATTACTACTTCCACTACTACTACTACTAGTAATTATTAATAATAATTTAGTAGTAGTATTAGCAGTATTTACTGAATAATAATAATAATAATATGTATTATTATTATCTACTTATCTACTCTTTAGATATTGTGTCTGTCATTTCACATTCTGGAGCCAAATACATGGCATAATGAATTAAATATGTAATGTATTCTTTCTGAATGTCTTTGTACCCATAGGTTTCTCTCAGCCTAGCGTAATGTCAGCGGTGATCACAGGTGCTGCTCCTTTCCAGACAGAAAGACCGTCAGGTGTGGCTGAAGTGCAGGAGCCGCCAGCTACTCAGGCCACCGAAGCCCCCAAAATACCGTCTGAACCCCTGGCAGCCACGACACCCAAGAGCCCACAGGACACATCTGCAGGTAGAGAACAAAGATCTGCACAAATACCATGACACTGAGTGTATGTCAATGTTATTAAGTGTATTTTGGTCACAAAATTGATCTTTCTGTTAAGCAGTAATGTTTTATAGCATGTAATCGTCTTCAAATACTGTTCATCCCCTTAGTATGCATTTCCCTCATGTTCTTCCCATGTGTTTTGTATCCGGGATTATGGGATTCCTACAGAAGTCCCTGTGGAGCAAATTACTAATCTATCAGTAATTAAAGCTTAGGCTGTCCACTGGGGGGCACTATAACTGGTGCTAGACTGAGTTACATTATCAGTTGTCAAAACTAGTCAAAGCCATCCATTCTGGTATCCCAGGGGCCTTTAGGCCTCCACAGCTGCAGCTGAGACCCAAAGTCATGCCGCTGGTTTATATCAAGCTCAAGCACCATATTCTGCCTGGTTTGATGCTCAGGGCTGGTTGTTGATGTGCAAACAGTGTTACACACCTACCAGATGGAGGGTCAGACCTGTAGAGTCATATTAACTCATGCATGAGTCAGTTATCAAGTGCCTGATCATGAAATCACCCAGATGGAAATTAGGCAATGACATCATAACCATACTTATAATAGCAAGTCTCGTATATAAATTTACGTGTATGAGTTTCTTTATTTTGAAGAATGTTGGGAACCAAATAGTTGACGGTAGCATTACTATGGAAGTCAATGGCTACCGTCAACTGTTTGGTTCCCAACATTCTTCACATCTTCTTTTGCGTTCAACAGAACACAAAAACTCGTACAGGTTTTGAACAACTTGAAGGTGAGTAAATGATGACAGGATTTTCATTTTTAGGAGAACCATCCCTTCAGCATTCATAGATGGAGTGTGTCCCATAATGCATTGCACTCTCACATGTTCACCCCCATCAGTCTAAAAAGCACAGATCCGTCTGTGTGAATTATCTGAGCGTGTCATATCAGGACAGACCGTCGGGAGCAACACACTTCATGTTGTAGACTATCCCAGCTAAGAAAAATATGTTCTGAGAATGTTTAGCTAATGTTCCTGTTAATTTCAAAACAATATTTCTGAATGATTTCTGAATGTTCAAAACATTCAGTTTTAAAAACTTTTTTTGGCCATTCTGTTAATGTTACTTAAAGAATATTTGATCATAACTTTGAGAGGACCTTGCCAGAACATTAGCAAAACTGGGAACATTCCCTGTTCAAGGACACAGATATGTGGGTCAATCAGTCTTGCCATTACTTGTAATGCATCTTGCATTACTGTGTTACTGTGCAAATTCAAACCCCACAAATCATCTGCTCGTTACTTCTGGCAGAGCGGACTAGACCTTGTACACAAATGAATTATGCTTGACCTCAGTTGCTCAGTCTGCTTTGTGCAAATCTACAGCAGAATTATAAAAGAGGCCACACTGCAATGACTTTCATTGTCTTTTTTGACTTGTTTTCCAGTGAAAATGTTTAATAACATATCTTACTTAAGAAGCAACACTTCATGAGATTAATAAGACTTGTTTTCGTGAATGTAAATTTAGTCATTTTGATTTTTTTTTCGCTTGAAACAAAAAAAAATCTGGTAGTATAATTGAAATATTGTATTGACCAATCAGCATTCATGGCTGCAACTATCAATTAATAAAACTAAAAATAATGCATGCTATTACTATCCACTATCTTGTGGTACATGTACATATTGGTTAGCATCTCAGAAGATGTTAAAAATTGTTTGATTTTGATCTTTCCAGGTTGTAAGGTATACCATATAAGCCTATTAGAGAGTGTGAGGGGTGATTGATAAGTTTGTGAATTTGTGTGTATATGTGTGAGAGAGCAAAAAAGAAAGTTAGTGCTGTTCTAATTTCCATTCTTCTTTGCATACGAGGTGTCTTTGGTGACCGCTGGTCTGATGAGGCTGGCATTCCATCTGGCCTGCCCTTCACGCCCAGCGTTTCCACTGTTATCAGTCGCCATGCCGGTCCTCTGGTAGAGAGCCCACATGACACGGCCAACCCTCAATGGTCCCCAAGAGATAGCGGGGCAGGAGATACAGATGAAAGGGAAGGTGAAGGATCTGACCGTAAAAAGGAAAAGAAGAAGAAGAAACGGAGACCCAGGGATGAGGTGTACGACTTCCCCACGGAAATGCAGAGCGAAAGCGCTTTATCCGACAGTCCCACTCAGCCGTCCCCGTGTAAGGAACGTGACCGAGACAGAGGTTGGGAAGATGGAAGCCGCTTTGATGGGAGAGTCAAGAAGCCGAAAAGCCGTAAGAAGATTCCCGAGGAATGGGCGATCCATGCAGAGCCCTTTGTCCCTGCTTCAGCCTGTGTGCCGCAGGAGTTCGCAACTGATATTTCCCAGTCACTCCTTGAAGTCGACAGCGGTCTTGTTTCACTTTCTGAGGACTACACCGATGGGAGTCTCATTCCTCTGTCTCTTACCCAAGATCTTCTGTCCCTCACAGCCACTTCCCCACCATCCACAACGCATCTTGAACCTGCAATGCCCTCTCCAAAGTCTCCCGGTCAAGCCCCCGATTTATCTCCCCAACACCCCTTGTCCACGTCATCTGGATTCCACGATATCATCATGGAAACAGAAGATTCTCATGCTTGCAATCTCAGCGACACTCAGCCTTTCATCTCTCCAGGTGGAACCTTTGAGGAAGCTATGTTTGGACAAGATCACACCTACACCGCTTCCATGGGCACCCAAGAGTCGCCATTAAAGGAACCCCAGACGTCCACCCCTGGAAGCACTTGTTTTGTACCACCGATGGAAGCACTGATCTCGGCACCCCCGTTTTCTCCATCTGGACCTGCGTGGTCTCTTAATAACCACAATCAACCCTTTGATCTTGAAGGTGTTGCCTTTGAGACCTCAGTCCCAGTTCCTGCACCTCTGCCTTCGCCAAAGAGCAAAGCCCCAAAGGAACCAAAGTCCAAACTAGGCAAGAAGTCGTCTGGGTTGTCCTCATCAAAGAGTCCAACCTCCCCTGAAGCAAAGTTGCCATCTCCCCAGAATTCTGGTCTAAATCCGGCCGCTCCGCCGTTCTTCCCTAGTTTTGCAGAACCTCGGGAGTTCGCCGCAGAACCGCCCTTCACATTGGAAGGTTTGTTGTGGACGTTTGGGAAGTGGATCCACGTAATGCATGGCTGAGTGGATTCCAAGCCTGGGCTTGAGTGATTAAACTGCGCACTGCAATAACTAACACTTCACCCCATCAGCTGGACCCAATGGTCAGGGTTCGCTCAAAGTGGGCTGGCTTGGTTTTGCTTGGGTGTTTCCTCCACAACGAATGATCAACTGTGTAAACGAGCAATACACCCCCCCCCCCCCCCCCCCAATTAACCTTGTGATCCAGGGTGTACTCTACTAATCCAAACACTTTGGTTTGCAGTTTGTCGAGGAGGTGTGGTTGTTCCCTCACAATGTTGCATCTTTGCTGTTGTGATTGATTGTTGTACTACCACTGGTGGCACCTAACATGACAATCTTCTTTCTCGGTATCCCACCACCCCTTCATATTTCTCTTCTAACACTTTTAGAGTGAATATGAACCACCCTTGTCACTTTATGAATGTATACAAAGTACAATACAGTTGTAAGTGATACCTTTTCTTTCTTTTTTCTCTTCTATGTTCCCTGACATCATCTGTTTCAACTTGCCAATTAGGTAAGTCAACATTTCTCTGGTTATTGCTTTGTTTTTGTCTCTTTATGTTGTGAAAGGAGTGTATTGTGTAACTTCCTCTACATTTCATTCATAACTTCTTCTACTTCCCATTAATTGCTATCTTGTGATGTCTGTGTGATATGGTTAGTGGACGTCCAACTGTGATTTGCAGCTTCAGAGCGACCAAAGGTCATTAAATGTGAAAGTTGGCAATTTAAGGCAATTTGAGAGTTCAATTTTATGCAAATGGTAATGGTACTATTATACCAATAAGAGAGCAGACTGTAAAGTGCTAGCGATTCAGTTGGCAACGTGCAGTGGTATAATCGCTGTCAGAGTCTGAATGCCTCTTTAAAGTAATTTGTAACAGAAACAGAATAGTTTGTATCGCACGTCCAAATTAAGTGAATTGGTATGTGGTACAAAAATGCATGACATTGTGGAAGTCAGAGTTGGGCACTCGAGTTAGTGACTCTGACTCGAGTCGTATTTCAATAGACTTCAGACTCGACTCCAGACTTGACCTGAAATGACTTCAGACTTGACTCAACTCGACAAGAAGGACTATTGAATATTTTAAACACAACTCGAGTCTTTTATCCTCAACTACTGATATCATGAAGAAAGAACTTACTTATTTGCTTATTTGCAGAGTACGATGTTTCATCAATCTTTTCGGAATATACGCAGATATGGCTTTTCTCTCAATGTATGTGTGTGTGTTCAGGTTTGACAAATCATAATGCAAAAACTGACACTTCAAATAAACATTTTGATAATCTTTAAACATTTATTCAGATGCAACATCTAATAAAAGTAATTATGTCTACCTACTATTTAACTTTTTAATTGGTGCGATTAATTATGTAAAAAAATAACACGTATGGGTTTATATTTGATATAAACCATATATGATATAGTTTAGAAATACAACAGGAGCATAAGTGCAGTTTTTTTCCCAAATATCTGCACGATTGCAAATGTGATATTGATTTTATACAATAGTTCAATAAATAAGTTAATGTTATGTGAAATTTTAGACACAGTATAGTATTGTCTGTTTTTCTCAGTTTCACAAATAAAAATATTTCAAACAAAGCCACAGCAGAACTGTTATGCGTCTTTAGCAACACATAGCGGTGCTTCGTTCCTGAATGAATCTGTTACGTTTTTGAACAAATCGAGACTGAATGACTCACTCAATCATTCAGATGATTTTTAGTTTTATATTTTGAGTATCATTTAATTTTTTTAAAAATCCTTTCATATTTCAATATAAATTTTTTAAAACCCATCTATCTATTGATGCCCATCTATTATCATTATTTATGCTATGTTGAATCAAAAATAAATAAATATATATATATTTTATGTGTATTTAATGCTTTACTCAACTAACACAGTAATGTTTTTAAATTATCTTTTGGGGGAAATATCAGGTAAAATTGATGTGTGATTAATTTGTGATTAATTAGATCTAGAATTAGATTAATTAGCATCTAGTGGCTACATCATGGTGTTACAGATGATTTTAAATATGAATGGGCCTCCTCAATAATTTTACATGTACAGTATTTATGTATTTTTGTATCTTGGATTGACTCTATGTATACAGGTAGAGGAAGTTAAGTTAGATTCCTAGTAGTATCCCTGGAACGTATTTTGTCCTTAATGCAACCTAGTAAATAGGATTTTTAAGGATGAGAATTTTATTGCAATAATTAATGAAAAGATTCCAGACTCGACTCCAGCTTAAAGACTCGAGACTTGACTCGGACTTCAGATGAAAGACTTGTGGACATGTCTGGTGGAAGTAAACTTTCTCATGTTGTCTTTAATAACCTTAACACAGCATAAGCCACACAACTGCAGAAAAGTAGTGTAGTATCTGAAAATGGTCTGTTTCTGGTTTTAGATTCTCTGTGTGTGTAGCGCCTTTATTAGAGAGAGAGAGTGTGTGTGTGTGTGTGTGTGTGTGTGTTTGGGCGCGTCTGACACAGCTGTCTCTTTTAGTTCTCTGTAATTTTCGGCTTTCTCCAGTGGGGAGGGAGCTACTTATACACTCCGGGAGACAGGACATCAGCGTTCGGTGTCAGACTTCCCAACATGCAAATTAATGACTGTACCGTAATGTGTGTGTGTGTGTGTTGTACTATGAGCTGAGAATAAGGAAACTGTGAGAGCTCAGTGTCAAATATCACATTAGAGTGAATTCTATTAATCCATGTTGTGTTGCCTGCAGTAAAACTTATTTTGGTGTTACCGTGGTGAATGTTTAAAAATCATCTTTCCACCTTAGTAAAAGAGTGACTGAACAGAGTCTCACTTCAGCAGCTCTGGAAAATACACTTGTGGTTTACACCATATTTTTTGTGTTCTGTGTATTGTTTTTATTATATATATATGTATGTGTGTATTTTTTTTATTTTATTATTATTATTTTTTTAATATCCCTATTTAGCTTGATTTCTTATTCAGTTTTAGCTGTAATAATTTTAGTACTTCAATTTGAATTTGATTACAATTAAAATTTTTTTTTGTTTTCGTTTTACGCCAAATATTTATATTTTATTTATTTCATGAATACATGTAGTATGTGATGTATGTACACTAGCAGGCAAAAGTTTTTGAACAGTAAGATTTGTAATGTTTTTTAAAGAATTCTCTTCTGCTCACCAAGCCTGCATTTATTAGATCCAAAATACAGCAAAAGCCGTAATATTGTGAAATAATTTTACTATTTAAAATAACTGCTGTCTATTTGAATATATTGAAATGTAATTTATTTCTGTGATCAAAGCTGAATTTTCAGCATCATTACTCCAGTCTTCAGTGTCACATGATCTTCAGAAATCATTCTAATATGCTGATTTGCTGCTCAAAAACATTTATTATTAATATTATTATGTTGAAAACAGCTGAGTATAATTTTTTCAGGTTTCTTTGATGAATAGAAAGTTCAGAAGAACAGTATTTGTTTGAAATAGAAATCGTTTGAAATCATTATAAATGTCTGTACTGCCCAATTTTAGGTAATAAAAGCATGAACAGCCATCTCTAGAGTTTTATGATTTAGGAAAGGTTTGATTTTTGACGACAGACGAAGTTGATAAAAACTAGAGCCTATTACAGAAGAAATGTGTTTGTCAAGGTTTAAAGGAACACTCCACTATTTTTTGAAAATAGGCTAATTTTCCAACTCCCCTAGAGTTAAACAGTTGAGTTTTACTGTTTTCGAATCCATTCAGCTGATCTCCGGGTCTGGCGGTAGCACTTTTAGCTGTAGCTGCTATGCGTTTTAAAACAAACACTAACTAGTGTAAATGTAGCCTAACAGATGTGTAAACTGAAGACTATTTGAGCTTTATTAAAACTATTTTGCACTGATTTATTGTGTTGGTTACATTTTGTTCCTTTGTGCAGTGGCTCAGGAGATGAGTCTTTGAGTTTGTATAAACTCCAACAAGCTGAAGAAAAAAAAACAAGTTTTTTTTTTTAGATAATGTAATCTCGTTAAAATTGATTTCATAAAATTGGTATCGAAAAAAGTATCATTCAGGAACCGGTATCAAAGTCAAGGTATCTGTATCGGTATCGATATCGAAAATTTTTGAACGATACCCAGCCCTATGGAGAGATGAGAATGTTTGTCATCCTGTTTAATTGTGTCATTTAAACATTTGATTTTTGCTATTGATTGCATGCTTAAAAACTAACAAAATAAGACTTGCCAGCATTTTTTTTTTTTGCATCTAAATAATAGACTTCAAAATGTCTGCTGACTTTAACCAGTTCTTTACACACACTGACCTGATTACAGCACATTGAACTGCTGATCAGATACGTTTGTTGTTCTCAGATGATTCTCTAGTGAGGATTTCTGTTAATTTTCATTCTCTTTTTTTTAAATTGATAGATGTTTGCTCAGAGCATGTTTTTATATGCGTCATACAGACTACTATAGCTGTTGCATTGCTTTCATGAGTGTTGTTTACCGTAGCAACATTTTTCCCCTTTAATTTAAGTTTTTCAGTATCCCACTCTAAAACAGGGACAATGCAGCGCTTGGCAAAGTGTTTGGTATTGCATTAGAAATTAAATTAGAAATGCATTGAAAAACGTTGCATTGCACTCCATCTACTTTTTTTTTTTTTTTTTTTTTTATTCAAAGTTGTGTGTTTTTTTTTTTATCAACATCATACAACATTACACATCAGCTTTTATAAATTCACTTTTAATCCATTCAGTGTATTATTAATAAAAGGATTTGTGTGTTTTTTCTTTTTTCCATATCTGTATCATGCATAGTAAAAGTACATAAACAGCATGATTAGATTTGAGTGCTAGTGTTTAGAAGCAGATGTGAAGTGTATTTTTAGAGGCCTGAGGTTGTGAGAGTCAGCACAGGATTCGACTGGGAGGATCTTACATAAGCA